ATATATATATATATTTTTTTTATACATAATCAGGCTCTTTCAAACAGTCCAAAATCTGACCTCTGGCTGGGGGGAAGCCCCAAGAAGGTTTCTGTCAACTACACGTAATAGCTTTGGTGTGGATGGGACCTTGGGCATTCAAAACTTGTTAGCCCTATATTTATGAGTAATAAGTAACATAGTAGTTTGGAGAAAAAAAAAAGTATTATTTTTAAAGCTATGAGCTGTACAGATTTTTGTTACAAGTGACTCTGTTACTATTTGTTCTGTAAGCTGCACATTTTATAAAGTTTTTGGAAGGGCGTGAAGAGAAACCGAGGTATTTAAGAAAAGTAGTGTAACTTTCTGTTTCAGGGTTATATTGACCTGGAGCTCAAGATTTAACGTCCTTCCTTATGTTCTAAATATGTCTATCATAGCAATAATTTATTTTCTTGGCTTAACACTTCTGTTTTAATAAAAGCAATTTCATTGTTACAGTGAATTGTTTCTTCGGATGATTCTTCCAGTGCCTCAGTGCTGAGCTTATCTCTGTCTTAACCATCTGTCAGCTCTTCCAGTCTCCCTGTGCAATTTCTGCTCTAACCAACTGCCAGCTGAACCGTGTAAAACCTGAGCGTGTTCCCCAGGAGAGGGGTAGGATCCCAGGCGGCAGCATGTGGAGACTTCCCTGATGCCGGTGGGAAGGCCGAGGCAGAGCAGGGAGGTCAGAGCAGCCAGCGGACGTCGCTAGGCGTGATGACGAGGGAGCTGTCTGGCGGAGGTCTGAAGGCACAAAGACCCTGTCCCAGCAGCAAGTCTCTCTCACCCCGCTGGGCTAGGTCCTGGTCGCGCAAGGTGCGAATGGCAAAGGTCAAACTCCTTGTCCCGGGCGTTGGGGCGAGGGGGAGTGGCTGCTTGCTCTGCCTCTGCCTCAGCCCCTCTCCGGGTACCTCAGTCCCACCCCGGTGGCTTGTCTGAGGAGCTTTGGGCGGTGGTGGCATCTGAGACCCACAGGTTTTGAGCATAATGGGCTGATGATAATGCTGAACCTTAAATGTGCGTTGTTTGAAGTAGCACAACGTGACCAGAGGACAAACGTGCCCTGTGCTCCAAGGCTGCCTGTTCGTGAGCAACATCAAAGCTCACTCCGTGGCTGTGACACACTCTCCCTGCTCTTAGAGGAAATGAAAATTAGCATTTTTGGAAACCGTAGTTACTTGCTGCCAAGCTCCTGTTTACTCCTGGTTTATGGAGTGCTATAACTCAGGCTCCCCCAGATGGGAGAGCAGTGGTGTCATGTTTAGCCTGAGGAAGAAGATGGAGCAGTAATTTATTTAACTGCAGTTTTCTCCCCGTAGCTGCTGGGATGGGGGAGCTGCCTGGCCCTTGGCAGTGCCGTGCTGTGGTCTCAGATGTTAAACCTCAGCCACCTGAGTTACCCTCAGTGTAGAGACCGTGCTCCTTCAAGTCTGGAAGTTCCTGTACTGTACATAAAACACTTGTTTGTTTTTAATAAGCTGGATGTTTTTTAAACCTTGTTCTTTTTTTAGACAGCAAAGAGAACACAGTTTGACACCTTTGTACAAAATTGTGTGGAAAACGGTTGCAGAGGGAAGATTTTAGAAGTTACTATTTTAAAATAATCGCTAAGTTAATGCAAGATTTTTGGGCTGTCAAGACAGCAATAGCTCATGGCACAAGAGGGAGAGAATTTACTAATGCAACAAGAGGAACATGAAACTTCCTGAATTTCTCTGTTTCAAAGGTTTCTGCATTGCTGGAAAAACCTTTAGTAATGTTTACCTGACACTGTTTTTTCAGGGTTTGATTGATTTGTCTAATAAAGGTTATTTTCTTTATATGAATTGTTTGCATTGTATCTTGATTTCAGCATGGGAACTGGGGCTGTAGAAGAGGAAACAGGCGTGCATGGAGAAGAGTGATTTTCCCTGGGGCATCTACATACTCTCTCAAAATACAGGTTTTGAAACAAAAAAAAAAATCATGTTTTTTTAACCGGGGTGTTAGGATGAAAGTGAGGGTGACTCGCTCGAGTTCACACGATGAGAAGTTTCAGCTCTCCTCCCTAGGGCTGCAGAGGTTTTAAAACAGGAATAGCAAAGTGCCACATCTGCACAACGTGCTTAAAATAAACCATGAAGTAACTGCTCTAGACCTCTGATTGTTATTCTGATTTTATTGGGCAAATAATATTAACAAATGCCTTAGCAGAAAGAGGGGATTCCGTTGTTCATTTTGGATAAATAAGGCCCCAGGGAGGGGACCAGCTTTTGCCCAGCTGCTGGCCCAGCCTTTTCTAATTCAGGGTGCTGGGGAGTCACCCGAGTGCGACAGCAAGTCTGCAGCCCCGGTCAGGAGTGAGCTGAACGCTGGGTCGTGGGCGGAAACGCGGCGTAGCTGCCCAGGCAGACGGTGAGGGACAGCAGCCCTACGGGTGCCCGGGGGCCGGAGCTGCGGTCTTGTCTTGTGACAGCATCATCTTCTGTTAAATAAACCCCAGGTGTCACTAATGCAGAGATAAGGCAGCTCCTCCTTCGTTACCGACAGCAGAAGGCTGCTACAAACATTCCTGACTGAACAAAGTCACTGTTCAACGTTAAAAGAAGGCTGAGCAAAAAGGCTTTCTCTCACCCAGGCAGGTGAGGTGTGTACCCTCCCCTCACTTGCCACAAGAAAATAAAAAAAAAGTTTCAAAAAGTGGCTGGGTCAAATTTTTATTAATGTTCTGTGAACTTACATTGCCAAGGCAAAGTAGGAGACCGATCTAGCAAACCCTCTCCGGATCAGCAAGTCGAGGCGGCGGCTGTACTTCCACGCGAATGGCAGGGTAAACTGAAAAAGCACAAAACGGAGGCCACCATTAAATCACGGAACTGCAGACCAGCAGGATCGCCAACTCCGTTCATTTCTTAACAACCCTGGAAGTCCTCTGCCATATTTTTTTTTTTTTTTGGTGGGCAACCTAAACTAGCAGCACAATTTCAAAATTCTGTTAAGACTGTACAGGACATTAGTCAATTTGCGCTGTAAAACGCCCCACCACCACCACTTAACTCACTCTGCAAACAAAACTGGGAACAGTGAACAAGTTTAAACAGAAAGCCAACAGCATTTAGAAGAAAAAAAGGCTCGGCCGTACAGCATCACCTGGTGGCAAACGCTACTTACTTCCACCCACTGAAGTAGCTCTTCATGAACATTTCTGTCCCCTTTAAAATACTCTGTGTTCAGTAAATCAGCAACAAACTCCCTGGGTGTGATCTGCTGAGTCTAAAACACAGAACACGACACGGCCATATCAACAGGCGGGTGCGCTCGCAAGTGCCCAGCTTCTGCCAGTGAGCGACGCCCCGTGTTAGTGAAATTACCCCTTGGATGGTGACGTTCCCAGCCCGGCCTCAGCCAGAGTTTATTATTAGTAAGATTAAAAACGATTGGTGTGAGGGAGCAGGGCTGGAATCAGTCGCACACGCACACTAGCGGAGGAAAAGGCAAGGGCAAACTCTCCCACGCGGCTCATCCGGGCTGTCAGGAGCTCGTACCCACCCAAAGCCTGCTCACGAGGGTCCCCACTCTGGCTGTGATTTCTTTGGGATCCTTCTGCCTCACTGAGTCCAGGATGACATCGGTCAGGAAAAAGTGGCACTTCCTGGTGTAGAATATCTCCTCATGTGAGAGAGCAAAGCTAACAAAAACTATATCTACAAGGAACAGTTGAACGAACACAAATGCATTAGGAAAAAAAAAAAAAGGCTGTGGTTTCAGCATTCACCATTTCAGGTATCCAGCCTTTGGCTTCTTTAATGCCTTTCCTGCCAACGTTTTACTGCAACTAACGGCCAGCGTTCAAACCTGAGCTCTGCGTAAGAGTTTGCCTGAATAAAAACTGAACATAGTTTTCAGATCATTGCTTCTTTCCTGATGCATTAGAGCTCCACTAGTAAATATTCAAGGCACTGCGAGGTTAGGCAGCTGCTGCCCAGCTCTTTTAAAGAATTAAATGTAAGCAGCGGTTCGGCTGCGATACCCTTAAGCTACTCGGCTGGTCAGAACTGACAACAAACCATGGCAGAGGGAATGGCTTTCATACTTAAAAACTCTGCAGCGAGATCCTAGCACTATTTACAGTTCCTCACCTTTGGACAGCGCTTGCGCGTTTGGAGTCTCCAGCTGGGTGCCACCCAGCAGAGCGCTATAAACAACGCTCTCTTCGTTGCTGGTA